AGACCCTGGGCTGCTGCTGAGCGCCCGGCAGCAGGGCAGCCTCCCCCACAGGACGACCGGTTCCACATCGCGGCAGCTGCAGGAACCATGAGCTGGCGGCAGGAGCAGCCCGAGGAGTGCCCCATCTGCCTGGGCCCGCTGTCCAGCGCAGCTCGTGTGGACCCCTGCAGGCACTCCTTTTGCCTGGAGTGCATCCACCTCTGGGCAGAGGGAAGGGACACCTGCCCGATGTGCCGCGGGCCCATCGTAGCAGTGGTGCGCCTGGCCCGAAGACCCCGCGGAAGGTTCCAGCGGAATGAGCGGCTGGGGCAGCGGCAGCAGCAGCAGCAGCAGCAGCAGAGGGGGCAGCGGGGGAGGAGCCCCTCCAACTACCGCTCCCGCAGCGTCTCGCCCCGGCGCAGGGCGCGCAGCCCCTCCACGGGGCGCAGACTGGAGAGAAGCTTCTCCTGGCACGCGGGGCAGGTCGGGCGCAGACTGCCAAGCTCCCCGCAGGACGCCGAAGTCGGGGACACATCCTGGCTGCACAGGGTGCGGCAGGAGGAGCCGGGAAGCGGGGACCACGCGGGCCGGCAGGACGGGCCCCCCGCCTGAGCAGGCGGCCGGGCCTCGCCTGGGGATGGGCTGGGGGTGGCAGCCACGATTCCCCCAGGAAGAATAAATTACCACTCTTCCACCCTGCAAAGCCTCTGCCTGCACTTCTTCCCGCATCGGTCAGTGGGGAAGGGGGTTGAGGGGGGGGAAGGGGGCTGGACACAGCCCTCCCCTGCTGTCCCCGCCATGAATTGGTTTGGGGGTGTCTGCTCCTGATGGGGAATGGCTGTGGGTGGCGGGTCCATGAGTGAGACTTAGGGGTGAGAAGTCATTTGGGGGATGGGAAGTCAACATGGGAGTGCAAAGGTATTGGGGACAGGAGCAGCCCAAAAGTTTAAATTGCTCGGTTGTTGTATCGGCCTCACGTGGTAAGAAGATTCAGCTCTATGCACAAAATCCAGGCTGAAGAAGGAACATGGTGCCCAAAGTAGAACTTAATTAAGTTAGCTGAGTTTTTCAAAGACTGAAAGTGCTGAAGCAGTTAAACCATGACTGAGCATGCGCAAAACAGAAAGGAGAGAAGTACGAGATGAAGAAGATGATGAGCCTTCATCAGAAAGCCCCGAAGTGCAACCACCAGAGGTTACCTGACCTGCAACAGCAGGAGGGACAATATGATAATTAGTTCTGAGAAGCCATTAGCGTAAATCCTGCCTTTTCTTGTGAACTGCATAAATATGGATATCCCCGTACCATAAATAAGTACTCCTTGTCTTGCTTAGCTGTACGTGTTGGGTGGAATTATCCCCCACATACCCAGCGTTCTTCATAAGGAATACCTACTTCCTAATTCTCCCAAAGGAGTCTGGGAAAGTGACACCGCTTTTTGCGTTCCACCATTGATGAGGACGCATCAAGAAACTGAGGAACAACTTTCCACCTGGGAAGGTGGAAATTGGCCAGGGACAGTGGGAATATGCATGAGAAACCTAGGATTGTTTAGAGAAAACCAGGAGCACCGCAACCTCTTGGCTGTCTCAGGTGGAAGATAGAATTGAGCAGTACCTCACTTGTTACGTGGTGGCATCCTACGCCATCTTCTGTGTCAGTGGTATAAAAGGGCCCTGTTTTTACCCAGAAGGAAGCTCCCAGAAGGGCTGGGGATGGAAGGGATCTCTGGAGGTCATCTGCTCCAACCCCCTGCTGAAGCAGGGCCACCTAGAGCTGTCCGGCCGCTGGACACCGCTGACAAGAGCCTGGCTCCGTCTTCTTTGCATCCTCCCTTTGGGGATGTCTAGACACTGCTACGATCCCGCCGAGCTTTCTCTCCTCCAGGATGAATGCACGGTGACGCACAATGCAATTGCTCGCTGCCCACTGAGTGATGATGCCCAGACAGACCCCGCGCGGCAGTAGCCACACTCTGGCCAACCTGCTCAGTCCCAGTCTTCAGCACGACCCCATAGGGTATGGGACATGGCTCTGGCCAGTTTGGGCCAGCTGTCCTGGCTGCGTCCCCTCCCAGCTCCTGGTGCACCCGCAGCCTCCTGGCTGGCAGGGCGGTGTGGGCAGCTGGAACAGCTTTGGCTCTGTGTAAGCATTGTCTGCAACAACTGAAAGATAGTTGTTTTATCAGCATCACTGTCATCCTAAATCCAAAACACAGCACCATACCAGCTACTGGGAGGACGATTAACTCTATCTCAGTTGAAACCAGGACACCTCAGTACTGAACTACTAAAAAATTCTTAAATGCTTTGTCCTACTACTGATGAATTTCCAAAACTGATTAGTGTCTTTTCTGAGGGACCTTTAACTTGACCCCCTAAACTTGAGCTTTAAAAACTGTCATGTTCTGAAAATGAGCATACCTAAAGATGTGTCAAACAAGGTGCTCAGAAACAGAGGTGGTGAATTTTTTAAAGTTTAAACCATGTATTTGTGTTAATATTGTGTAACTGCCACACATACTGAAAGAGCAGTGTGCATTATACTAGGAGCAAATGCATTACATTAATCATTCAAGCATTATTAAATTATCAAAACATGAAACCTTTATTGCTGCTATTCTTCTTTCAGAAGATTCTCATGTGAGGTAAAGCAAAGCTGATAGATTTAGCGTATCAAGAAAAATTCTTTGAAAATGTTAACTAAGAAAATGTTTTTATTTAGCATATAATTTTTAAGTTGTTACAGAGCATCTTCAATACTGAAGGATTTGAGGCTTTTATCTTGATTCTGCAAGGAATTAAGCTTTGTTTTTACATTGAGGAGGGGCAAGAGAAGCTATCATCCAGAGTGAAAATCTTTCCCTTCAGATGGTATTGCCTTGGTTATTACAACCAGATATTAAAAATTACTTCCCTACTGCTGAGGTTTGCTGTGTCAGTTTTCATGATACTCAGCTCAGAGTGATGCTATATTTTGAGTCTTCTTACATAAAAATCCTGTTATCCTTTCTGAAGTTTTCTGCACTGCGGGGTGCATTCTTTCGGATGTATCATTTTGAGGTGTTTTCTTTCAGATAACTTTTCTTACCAAATCTGTGTTTCATAAAATATCCATTAAACAAAGCTTTTACTCACCCTTAAACAATATGCTTATGAGTAAGAAGAGGCGGCTCAGTCATTTTTAATCCCATGCACTCTGGATTTTGGTGTCACTATGATTAAACCAGCTGCCTCACTCTCTTCTCTGCTGTGCAGTAATAATCTGGCAGAATTTGACGACCAAAGCCCCTTACAGACCAGAAGTTTCAAGCACTGAATTCAGTCCACATACTAAATCTGTATCAGGGCCTTGAGGAAAACTCTTTAGTTACAGATTTTTTGGGTTTTGTGCTAGTTCTACACACTCTCACATTAGATGTATCATAACCATGTATTTGGAAAAAATGGTCAAACGTATGACTTTGTTGTTTAGAGCTCCATGTGATAAAGTTGAACAGATGCACACATAACATGCTTTGCATCAGTTTCTAAACACACCGTTGCCTTTTCTCTAGCAGAAAAAGAAACAGGTCGCTCACAGAACAACACATCAAACACAGCAGCATTAACAGATTTCATCTTCAGGGCATGGAAAAGACTTTAGGTTGTTTGAGTCTTGCCCAAGACTGCACGGTCCCTAGAGATCCATCTCCTTCTCCAGACATTCAAATTCTGGTTTCCATTTTCAAAGCTCCGATTTCTTTGCTTGCTTGCATTTGTGGAATAGTAACAATGTGCTGAAGACAAATTTGACCAAAATGATGCCCCTGGACTTTAGCTAACATCTTATCCAAAGCTGTTCCTATCCCAATGGCTATCTTGTCAGTATGGTGGACATTTGGTGAGGAGAAAAGGGTAGAACTAACTATGCACATTACAATTATTTTTATACTAACACTTGCATAGAAACACCAGGAGAGCAAACAGAATTGCTCTCTGCCCCAGTTAGATGCAGAAGAGGTCTGTGGAGGTTTGGGATGTGGCCGATAGAGAAGAATAATATCCGCATGCATAACGTTAGTCGTGATTCTGTTGAAGAAGGAAATGAAGATGGGAGTCATGACTCCAGAAAATGGATGGAGACCATTTGTATCCACCTCCTGTCGATTAACTCCACAGTGAGCAATTTCCCCTCCAGCTGTGGAGGTCTAACACCCAGCAACCTTTCCTCCAGCCAGTCAGCTTGCACAGAAAAAAGAGGATGTTGTTAAAATTAAAAAGGCTGTGGTTGACACTGCAGCTCTACTATAGAAAGCAACTTAATTTAGGTTTAAGAATGTTCTGACTTGTAAGATGATTGCAAATCCATGAGAGGTATATTATGGTACAACACATATGTGAACCCAAATGCCTGTAACAGATTTGCATGACAGAGATGCCAAGTAGTTTTTTGCATTTACCTGCTCTGTTTGTCATCCTTATATGGTTCATGTTTTCACATTCTAAAGAGGACTTGCTTTTCTAACCTTCTCTAATCTATCTTGCCAATTCTTGTGTTAGCTGGTAGCAGCATGATGTCTTGGCCAGTTAACTTATATTTTGAGAGGGTGGGCAAACAGCATGAAAGGCAGTGCCACTGTAGAATATGCTTCAAAGTACACTGCATGAGAAAAACTGATGTCAAAAGACCAAGCAGATTTGGAGGCAGAAATAAACAAGCTAGGTCAGTGAAGGAGCTAAAGCTCAGGAATCTAGACTGGGTCTATGAAGGTTAAAAAAAAAAAAAAAGAAAGAAAAGTGTGATTTTACCATTCTGCCTGCCATGATTGAATAGCCAAACTGAGAACAACAGCAGTGCCATGGAAGTCCTTGTGGAACAAGCACAAGAGTGAAATATTGCTGAGGGACACCAGGAGGTCTCACTAAAACCACACTGGTACTCTTTTTTCATTAGCAGTCAGGAAAGCACAGGTGCAGTGTGTCTGAAAGGCTCAAAGAAAAAGAATTCTCAAGAGTAACCTGTCCTATGTTTTATTTTAGGATTTTTTCAGCAAATCTGATCCTTTCCTGGAGATTTTCCGGATGAATGATGATGCAACCCAGCAACTTGTTCACAGGACTGAGGTAAGGCATAGGGTTGGGTTTACTTTCCAAGGACACAGGTAGGTTGTCAGGAGGAGTAGTTTGTGCTTCCAATGTCAAAAAAGTATTGCAAGCACCCATGTTTAAAAACCCTTCTATCTCTGCTTTAATTATTTACTAATGGGTATCAGGTCTTGACTTATGCACACAAGAGTAAGGGAAGATGGTATTGAAGCCAAATATTTAAGTTTAATTAAACTGGCAGATGCTCTGTTTGCAGGTTAGTACTTATGCATATTTTATTTAGCCCAAACCATGCTACAGACAGTATCATATTTTCCTATTAATGCTATGTTGCATCCGCCTGGCTCCTCACAGCTTGCTGTGATAAAAAGATTTGTAATCTGGGTCCTTTACATTTGTTTCTTATGCCACAATATTGTTACTGCTTCCGTGGCAAAGATTGGCACTGTCTTTAAAAGCAGCATCTAGGTGTATGGGCTGGAGTTATGCTGGGTATTTGGGGTCATGAGCCTATTTGTTATGTATCCCATAAAGTATTCTACCAAGGGAAACCATGTGTCCATAAGTTGATACTGCCCATCCCCACTGCCAAGGCCTGCATCTCTTCCATGGCTTCCAGTTCAGAGATGTATCCTACAGCCTTCCGTTTGTGGGTTATGCCCCTACTGTACGTGGCAGTGCTGGGGCATTCTCTGTAGTGTGAGTTGAACGCAGGCCCATTTCCCCACTTGTGCTCCTTTCTGGGGCTTTCCAGAGCAAGTTTGTTGGAAACTGCGGTTTGCTCCAGGGCAGGTATCCCATGCATGTTCACCAAACCTCCAGCTCAGTTGTTTTCTCCTCTTTATGGTACTACTATTTTTTAAACTGTGGCTGGTGTTAGTAGAAATGTGCAAATATTAAGGGTTCCCTTCATTTCTTTTCATTTTCAGGTTGTGATGAATAACTTAAATCCAGCCTGGAAGACTTTTAAAGTATCTGTAAATTCTCTGTGCAGCGGAGACCAGGATCGCAGGCTAAAGGTCAGAAGCAGTTCCTACTTTCTGAATAGTTTTTACTCATAGCAAACATCCGTGTCTTCCATTTTCTGTTGAAGATTCCTACTCTGTTCTGCGCTCTTCTTTGACAGACAAGATGATCACGCAGATGTTTTACGGCTACCACAATCAAATTAAAGATGCAGAAAAGTGGTTATCCACTGTAATCAGTAGATTATTCTCCGTGTTTCCTACAGTAACCTGGAAAAATAATGGTGCAGTTTTTGCCAATCAGTTGAATAATTTGAACCCAGCACCACTCAACTGGTGTGAGTATGCTCAAGAGAAGTGGTAGCTCTGCAACCAGTTTAGCTACTTCCTCACTTTTTTGGCTGGAGACCTTCTGTAAGAAACATTGAATAATGAGCTCTGTTAACATATATGAAAAATGGGGAGACCACAAAAAGACACATGCTGTAGTAATGACAGTGCAACTATTCAGCAGAAAGACTGATGCTTGGGCTCCAGGAGCTCTGTGCAGAGAAATTCATCTCCCTGTGGCTAGTTAGGTTAAATCATGGCTGAATCAGAACCTTCTATTCTTCTACTCAGGTTTAAGGTTAAGACTAAATTAAAGTTTAAAAAGGAGCACTGTCCACAGTGTCTATTCAGCCTCTCAGAGCTGGTGAGAGGACATTGGACCCCAAAATGTCTCTTTTTTTTTCTTACCATACCAGGGTGTGTGGTTGTTCCTTTTCTCTACATACCTGTCTTCTTACATCATTATAGTTGTATAACCCTGCAGAAATTATACTTTTATTTTTCACTCATTACATACTGTAGGATGTGCTGTGCAGATAGAAGAAATAAAATGCTTAGTCTCCACATTATAATGCATGCCACACATGGGTGGAAAAAGATAAAAGGGAGTCCTGTGAATTCTTGAATTTATATTGGTCATGCCGATTGTGATTTCTGACTTCACAAAATCAGCACAGTTGTTATGGAACAACAGTGATACCAACACTGTGTTTGTATATATACATTTGTATGGCACTGGGGATGCACAAGGAAGACACAGATCTGAATGGTATCTGTATGTATTTTTTTTGTCCCTTGTGGCAGTGGTGAGCAGACAAGATGAGACCAAGGGTAAAAGAAGCACTGAAAGAGTGAGGGAGTTTGAGGAAAGAACGAGAGATGGAGCAAGGAGAAGTAAAGGATAGAGTAAATGGAGAGCAAGATGCTTAAGAGGCCAGACCAAGGTGTTTGTGGGAGGTTCATCTGGGATGTTGGAAGGACTCTCCAACAGATTACTTCAGGTGGTATAGGGAGGCAGTTGCAGAAGATCTTTCCATCTGTCTCTTAGTTGGTAAATGGTCAAACCCGCTGTGTTTGGCATGTCCACTGAGATTGGAACAGAGTTGTAGCAGATGAAATAGAGAATGAGGTCTAGGGAAAGAATCGCCTCCATTTTAAACTGCCAGCAAAATTAACAGTATTGACTAAAGAGGATTTCTAATGCAAATGAAGGAATATGTAGGAGTTATTTACGGTAGCATGTGTAGAATGAAAGTAATGTGAAGTGTCAGAATAATGACTTTGTTATCCCAGGAGGTTGCAATTTTATAAATTTCTGGAGTAGATTAAATATCTATGAGTTATTGCCTGAAACATAAAAGACAAGCAAATTACTGTGTGTTGTGTAAAGCAATATCGTTCCCCATGACAGAGGAGAAAAAAAAAAAAAAAAACAAAAGCCAAAAGCGCAGCTATCCTTCAGATCCCATAACATGATTGATTCAAAGGACAGTCAAGGACAATGAGCCCTGCCTCGTCTGGTGCCTTTAATGGTACTTCCAATGACCAGGCTTGTACTTCTTGACAAAAGGGAAGCACTGGAGAAAGCACAGAGGGTGCTTGTTTGGACATTGAGTTCACATCACAGCTCCAGCAGGGCTGGGAGCTGAGATTTTGCTTTTGAGTGGAGCGAGCAATGAAGGGCTTGGAAAGGGAGGCTGGGCAGTTCTTTGATCTACTAGAGAAAGGCAAGCCGCTGGTGGAAGTAGCTTATGTATAAAGTAGCTTAAAATGAAATGGGCAACATCCTTTAGTAATGTGATTGTAAAGGTCTGGAACAAGAGATGGATCACATTTCTGTTGTTGAAATGAGATTGTGTGTATGTGGCCTTTAAATCATTTAAATGAGAAATTCTAGGGAGAGATGCAAATGAAATGTGATGCCTAGAAATGTCAAGGCACTAGGAAGTCCATAAGGGTAGAAGGTTTTGGTTCTAGAGGAAGAACTACGCTTTAAGCTTTTCAAGATTGAGGTGAGAAGGTGTGAGGAAGGATGAGATTTCAGCTTGGGTGGAAGAAGATGGGTCTGGAAATAAAGGGGGGGATCTTTGAGCTATGAGTAGAGAGACAATAGTTGAATTTATTCGTGGATGATACTGCCAAAATATGGAGTTAAGAGAAAGAAGTGAAGGAAAACAAGCACAGTACTTTGGGACCACCTGTAGAGAAGGGGAAAGTGGAAGGTGAAGGAATGGGTGAAGAAGAGAATTAAATCAAGATGGATCTTACAAACCTATTGACAGTTTTCAAAGTAGTCTGATTCTTCACAACACCTCTCCTCTCCTCTCCTCTCCTCTCCTCTCCGCTCCGCTCCGCTCCGCTCCGCTCCGCTCCGCTCCTCTCCTCTCTTCTCCTCTCCGCTCCGCTCCGCTCCGCTCCGCTCCGCTCCCCTCCCCTCCCCTCCCCTCCCCTCCCCTCCCCTCCCCTCCCCTCCCCTCCCCTCTTTTACGTTTTCATTTGTGTATGCAAATATTTGCAGGCCCTGATTTAGATGGCTGAATATTTGCCTAAGGCTGCAGTTCAGATATTCACAGGAAAGCTAAAAGTAGTAGATCTGCACTAGATTCTTTTATGCAAAAATATTTTAAAATTAATTGTGGCTGTGAAATAAGAATCAAGCTTGAAGCTTCTTTCCAATTCAGGCCCCTTACACCTTGTGGTGGGTGTAAGATAAGGCTGCTTTGGTAAAGCAGCCTCCAGAATCACTTGTGTTTGACAGATAGCATACAGCACTTGTCAGCTGACAATTCTGTTTTCCTTCTATGCAGACCATAACTTAGGAATTTGATGATAGCAAGGACAAAAGAGTGGAAATTAGAAGAATCAGAGAGGTGAAGTGTCTCTGATGGGTTTAGTGCTGTATGACTGTTTCTACTTTGATTTACATTGACTAAGCATTCCTGTCTTCATGCTACCATATTTTTGAAGCGTTGACTTCAGATGCTTTGTTTCACTCCATTAAGTATATAGCGATGTGTTACCGTTAAATGTTGGAAGGATTCCCTGTGCCATATTTAACACCGAGAGTTTTTGTGTAGTGCAGCTACTATGCTGACTTTCTCATAAGGATTGCCTACTCACTGTGAGCAGCATGTGCTACAGAGATGGCTGGTTATGAACCCATGCCTGTTGTTTCTTTTTGACATACTCTGGAAGGCATAATTTAAGTTAAAGCTTTAGGAGGCAACGGGAGTGTTTGAAGGGAAATGTCAGATTGTGGAAATTTTGCAAATGGAAGGAGACTTCTCACCAATAGCAGACACATTACACTGCCCGCTGCCCTTGACACATCAGTGCTCAACATGCATGCCTCTGTAGGCTGTCTGGAGATCTGAAGTCTTGGCATTTCATCTCTGCCACTGAAATCGCATGGGTACTGAGCTTAGTGGTTTGATTTGTGTTATGAAGTGTGGGGATTAACAAAAATACGCTGAAACAACTCAGCTTAACTTACTTTGCCCTTTTTAAGTCTTGCACCCAAAGCAACGTTTACACTGTCTGGGCATTTGAAATTCTTCCCTGTTGAAAATGTCTGTTTAAAAAGATAAGATGTGCAAGGTCACTAAAATCAAAGCAACCAATAATTAGGATCTCCCTCAAAATTCGTTCACCAGCATCCTGTACAAAGTCTGTTAATTAGAATTCCTTACAGGCTTTAAAAAAAAAAAAAAAAAAAAAGAGAGAAAAAAAAAAAGAAGAAAACGCTAATTTTGCTTTATTTAGCTGTTGGACAGAGAGCAGTTACTTTTTATTCCTCTCAGGGTTCCTTCTAAAACTTTATTGCAATTATTGCTGCTCTAGGTTTTATTATGAAACAGATATATTAGATTTATGAACCTACTGAGCTTTTCTTCCCAGACATTGAAACCACCTGAGAAGTCTAGTCACACTTCAGCGCTGGTCATAACTTCTTTTAATGCTAACAATGCAGACAATTTGTGTATGAGCTAAAGTTAAAAGAAAATATCTCTTTGATCCAAAGTAGTACATTGCCTTTCTAATATCTAAAGAGATTTAGTTCATATCGATGATTACTGACAAATCCAAATGAGGGTTATAATCCCTCTGAGACCTTTTTTTCTTTTTTTACCCTATTCTGCTATGCTGAAGGTCCTCTAAATTGTGGAATTTTGGCATTCGGTTTTGGTTTCTGTATGAGAAGTATGTTGCCATCAAGGTTTTATTTGAAATTCAGGCTTGCTTTGTGAGTATCTTCTGATAGGGATATTCTACTGTCCATCAATTCTAGTAGTTCTGGGTTCCCCTTGTTCTAGTGGAGTCCTCATAACATACATGTACACTGAAAAATCATCTCTTTTTGTGTAGGTATTATACATTGTAATATTTAGGGAATAAACACCTAATAAGGTGCTATAGAGGCACACACCACACAGTGCACATGGCGCAGAGTAAGAATATCTTCTGCTGAGGTTGTACAGAGAACCTCAATGAAAGACATTCTGCTCATAAGGATAAGAAGGAGGAAAAGAGGCCAAAAAAAAAAAAAAGGAAGAAAATGGTTGCTACAGTAAAAAAGAAACTACAAGGAAAGGGAAACGTGCCATATTTACATGTATGTAGAAAATCGTCTCCATTTTCTACTCAAACAAGGAAAATTTTCAAAACAAGAATGTCCATTAGATATTTTTCTACCTTTCAAAAATCTGTATATTGCATCTTCATCA